AGCTAGTTGACTGTGTTAGGCAGCTTAAGAAGAAGGTTTAAAAAGCTCACAGCTCCAGCACCTCACCCAAACGAGATACAAGAGAAGAGGTGGGAGAAAGCTCAGCTGCTCACGACCTTGTGCTACCACCAGGGAAAGAAGACTGGGTGAACCCGGCCACAGCGTTCCAACCAGACTCACCTGAGAGCAGTCCACCTAGATACTCAACTCCATCATGTTCCACCTCCAACCCATCCCACTACTTGGGATCAGACCTCAGCGATTGAGGTAAACACTCAAAACCTTGTAAATAGCATGTAGACTTTCTTTTTCTTTCGCATTTTCCTTGTTTACTTTGTTTTAACTCCTTTCTCATGCTTTTATAACACAAGGGACTGTGTTATTTAAGTGTGGGGGAGGAGTTTCATCCTTTACTAATCATGTTTTCTCTTTTCTTATTTTACACTTTGAGTCTTGAGTCACATTCTAGTTGCATATTCATTTAGTCTCATCTAAGTGCATATAAAAACCAAAAAAATGGAAAAATCTAAAAAAAATTTACACAAAAAAAAAAATGATCATGTAGTTGCATTCTCATTTTTAGGATTGAGTCTAGATTGCATATGCATGTAGGTTGCATCTTGCAGGGAGTAATGATAGGTTTTCTAGAGAGTACATCACTTTGAGAACTTGAATTGAATATGCTTGTGAATCTTTTTCTGTGCTTGCAAAGTCTGAAATGATCTGAATCTGAGAAACAAGTTTGAATTGAACTCAACTCTAATTAAGAGAAAACCCTGAACTTGACTTGAAATTATCATTTGGTGCATTGTTTGAACAAGCTTGTGGATACCAATATACACATTTGAGCTAGAATCCTGTTTTTACCATCCTCTTCCTTAGCTCAAATAGCTGAATCTGCATAATAGATCAGTTTTCCTCACCCTGAACCCATCCTTCTTTCAAGCCAATTGTTTGTGTGTGATTGAGAGGCCACCTTGGACCAAACTTAGCAGAAAGTGTTAGGTTTAGGGCGACAAGGGCAAGTCTCATTGAGTGCTAAGTTCCATCATCAAGGAGCTGAGAGATTTGGCAAGAACTAAGTGTGGGGGAATACATGTTGGTGAGTGGAAAAAGGAGAGATGAGTGGAAATGAAAGGAGAATGGTGAGAACTAGGGGAATGGAAAAGAAAAGAAATCAGTCTTGGAGTTTTGAGTCAAAGAAAGTGAGCTCTAGTGTTTTGAAAAGAAAGAGTCTAGCCTCTAAGTGAAAAGAAAAGAAGCCAAAGAGCTCAAATGTTTTAAAAAAAGAAAGAAAAAAAAGAAGAGGTTAGAGGTTACAAAAGAAAGTGAAAAAGAACTATGTAAAGTTTGAACTCCAAGACTTGTGTATGAAAAAGAAAAGAGAGTCCCCTAGTGAGAGAAGAATGAGTGTGAAAAGTGAGCAAGTGAGGAAACTTTGAGTAGAGTGTGGGGTGGGATGAGTCTTTGCCCTTGTATGCATAGGTTGCCTTTTACCTTTAGCATTCTGCCAAAGTTTGGTCATTCATTGAGAGATCCTTTTGCTGCATTGAACCCACTCAAGCATTGATGAGATCATTTTAGTCTCATAACCTCACTCTAGCCAAACTATGTTTGTTTAAACAATGCACCATTTGATCCACTTGTTAAAAAGCTTAATGAATGTTAAAGAGTTGAGAGAGAGAAGAACTTGTGGAGATTCCTTGTTGAGTTGATATATATCTGAGTATGGCTTTGCATTGCATAATTGAGCATGAACTTGAATTCTCATTGTGATCACTTCTCTCAAAAAGGAAATGTGAACTCCCAATGCATCCAACCTCTTTCTCTCATTTGTTCTTGTTTGCTTGAGGACAAGCAAAGGACAAGTGTGGGGGAGTTGATATGTTCATAATTTGCATCATTTAGGTTGCATAATTCATTCTAAATCATGTTTTATTCCATGCATTTTAGGTCCTTAGGGTTTGTTTTAGAACTTAGGAGATGCATTAGGTCCCAATGAGTCTTTGCATGTTTTGAGTGTGCATCAGGTGCATTTGGAGCTGAAAAGATGAATCCAGGAGGTGGAATGGTGATCAAAGCTTGAAAAGTGGCAAAAATTGGGTCTATGGAGGTTATCGGCCATTCTCGCTGGCCAGGAAGGTTTTGTCGACCATTTTCACGTACCGCGGGTGGACTTTGTCGACCAAAACACGTACCGCGAGTGAAGTGTATCGGCCAAAATCTCCGGGTGCAAACATGTCTCAGAAATCGCCTGTCCGGGGAACCTTCCGATCCGATTTAGATGGCGGGTGCTTCATAGAGGTTGGAGAGCATTGGATCACGGTCTCATAGCAAGTGGAATCATGGAATTCGGACGCGTGAGCAGAGAGTTAAGCTCGTCAGAAGGAACCCCTATCTCGCAGGTATTCCGGACCGAGCAGATCAGTTCTGAAGGATGCGAAGGATGGTGCACTTCCAGGCCGATTCAGTTTCCGGGTCCTTCATGAGAATCAAGGACGCCTCTCTCTGGTCGTGTACATGCACTGCAAAGATGTGCCCTCCAGGAAGCCTTACACTTCCCAAGCACCGAAGCTTCCTTCACCAAAGTTGGGATAAATGAGTCCTCTGTCTTCTGCAACCGAAATCATTCAATTCGGACAAGTCTCCAGGAAGTTACACTCTCCGGAATGCGAGATGGTCCAGACATCCCGGAATGACTAAGTTAAACATGTCGCGATGGAATGCCACGGTCCACACTTGCCCGTGGCAACTTTTGTGCACCCTCGGCCAATGACACGATCTTCATGCCACGGTCTACACTTGACCGTGGCAAACATACACTTGGCTGAGAAGAACTTTGCAACCATTCGGCGATTGACACGGCCTAGATGCCACAGTCTGAGGCTTGACCGTGGCAACTCCTGCAAACCTTCGGCGATTGGCACGAGCTGAATGCCACGGTCTGGGACTTGACCGTGGCAAATGAACAATTGGCTGAAGACAACTTTTACACAGCTTCGGGTTTTGGCACGGTTTCAATGCCACGGTCTGAGACTTGACCGTGGCAAACAAATACTTGGCTGGGATGGATTTCACATACATGCGGGTTTTGACACGATCTGAATGCCACGGTCTAGGAGCTTGACCGTGGCAGCCTTTACACATCTTCGGCGTTTGACACGGTGACTTGCCACGGGTTCCAGACGAAGCTTGATCAGACCGTGGCATCAAAAGGAACCAAGAACACAAGTGAAGACTTTGACACGGTCAGGATTGCCACGGTCACACCAAGAACACACCAGACCGTGGCAAACCCATCTTTGCCCACCAAGGCCGGGTCAGTACCCGGTTTGTTCCGGGTTGACCCGGTTCGCCCAAGCCTCCTTTATAAGGTTTTTAGACCTAATTTGTAGAGAACCTTGAATCTACTTTTAGTCTTCTTTCCCCTTTTGTGAAAACCTAATTAATACACTTGTTTTAGAGAGCTTAATATCGATTTTGAAGTTTCTTTTTGTCCTGTTCCGTCATTTCTTATCATCAAATCAAACTTCTAATCATGATTAACAACACATCTTGCAAAGGATCTAGTGTGTTGATCATGATTAGTGAGTAGTCACCTTAATGAGGTTCTAGATGTGTAGGTTAGGGTGCTAAAGTGTTAGATTAGGAGTGCTTAGGGCTAGATTCATTGATTCATTTCTCTAAACAACTGTTCTCTATGCTAGATCCTTGATAATCACTTGAGATCTAGATTCTGGGAATTTCATGCACCAAAAGTGTTTGATGAAATTCCTGAAAGAGTTGTATTAGAGGTTTAAGCATTTTTCTGCATGATGATGTATTGTTATTTGCTTGAATGATCATTGAGAACTGTTTATTAATGCATATTGATTCATATTTCACAAATGGGAATTTGGTTTGAAAATGGATTAGTATAGGGGTTAATACCTTCATGAGAGGATTAACCTAGATTAGAGTTCTTAATCATTTGAATCATGTCTCATCATTGTCATTAGCATTTCTAGTTTAGCACCAAGCACTCTAACCAACTATCATGTCTAGAATCTCATGCCTTCATCATAGTATATTCACATCATTTGTCATTGCTTAGTTCTTGTTTTGTCATTGTCATTAGTCTTTAATCCAGTTTATGTTTGTAGTTGTCTCTAGATTAATCAAAACCCACTCTTGTTTGCTTGAATTAAGAACTTGATCACATAGTTTAGTGTCTAACACCACATCTGGATTGATTAACCTCTTTGTGCTACATTGACAAGGGGATTGATAGTCCTGAGACCCTAAAAAGTCTTGTTTATCAAAACGATCCATAAAAGTGGTCAAAATACGGTGTTATCAGACGGTGCGGTGGTGGTGGTGAACGGTGAGCTCCTCTCTCCCTTCCTCTTTTCCATTTTCCTTCTCTTCTCTCTATTTTCTTCTCTTTTTCTTCTTCTCTGGCTTTTCTCTTTAGGTGCTCTCTTTTCTATTAGTTTCTTTTTTGTTTCACTAGGGTTTGGTTTAGAAATTTTGGTTTAAAGACAAATTAAAATATGAATTTGAGCTTAATTAGGTGTTAAGAAGGAAATTGGGTTAAAGTTTACGAGTCCAACTAGTGACCATAATTGAAGAAATGAATGATAGGGAATATGGTATTCTTCTCCATTCCTAATTTTTTTACCATTTGATGGAATATTTGATACACATAATTCCTTTCTATTCCTTCTTATGCTGTATGAGGATTTATAGAACAAATATATACCTCATCAAATTCGATAGGGAATAGAAAGAAAATAATAAACATCGGTAAAAATACATTGTTTTGTAAATATTTTAAAGTAAATTTATAGAAAATTGATATTTGACGTGAATCTTCTTTCCACACCTTGTCTTCTTCTATATATGTGAGAGATATTTTTTTTCTTTCTCTAACCTAATATATCGATAAAGAAAGAAGAAAAGGTACATACAGAATCTTAAAATAAACTTAGAGCAAAGAGCATATGTGTGTTTAATGATGCTTTTTTTCCACTGAATTTTTTCTTATATAATACCAAGATGGAATACAAAGGTGAGATACAATTTTCGTACATAAAGCCGGCGGAAAATAGGAATTCCCCGGAAACTAAGCCCGATACACGAGAGACATATTATGGGATACTAAAGTCAAAAGTAAAATTCTCGAAACAAGGAGAAGTCGGAAGAGCACAATAGACACGAAACTACAGAACTCAAAAGGTCACTGACGAGGGGATCTACAACCACAAACAGAAGAGAACCAAGGATAGAGGAAACCGCGAAGAAATAAACCAACTAAACGATTAATCCGAACATAAAAAAGCAAAGGACGAGAATCTAAATCCTACACACCTAATCTTCTGCCGAAAGAGTCTAAATCTAGGACTTTGCATCCCCACAAGCCAATTGGATAGACAAGAGGTTAGCCTTACAAGAACAGATTATCGAAAAGACCACGGGAGAAAACTTTTTATTCTTCTAAACTAAAGGCGGTTGAAGGACATTAACTTTGGAGATTCAACGACCAAATAGAGAGGATAATCGCAATCTATCCTAAACCAGACAACAGGACCAAACCGTCAATTCTACGAGATTAAAGAACGAAACCAAGACCTTAAAACTCCCACAGACAAAAGCAACTAATCAGAAGATAATGGCACCAAGCAAATGAACAAAGCCAAAATCAACTATTAAACCCCATAAACAACAACTAAGACCTACAATAAGCACAACCGATTGAGAAACCAAACCAAAGGAGCAGAATAACAGACAAAAGAAGCAAAATCGAATCGGCCTGCACAACTTGCAATAGCCGAAACCTTTGGCGAGAACAGAGTCGAGAAACAAAATCCGCAACCTCAAAGATCTGAAATCCAGACCAAAGCCACCGAACCCTGCAAGATCAGCAAACGGAAACGCCTAACCCTCCAGAAATTTGCCGCTGCATCTCAGCAAAGACCCACGCCGTGAACCTCGCCGCTGCTCCAAAGATCTACTTCTACATCAACCGAGCCATCGAAGCAGGCGGAAGAAATATAAACAGAAGAAGAAATACAACTCTACATGACCTCTCACAACTCCGGCAAGGAACGCCGGAAGCCGGAGAGGCCAAACGGAAGACTCTTTCTTTTTTCCTGAGGAGGCTAAACCTAATCATCCACTCTCGCACAGAGGGTTTTTTGAAAAAAAGAAGATACCTTTGTGTGTTTAATGATGCTTGAAAGCGTTTTTTCTTCTCAGTTATTAAATATTGAATATTATTATTTTAAGATATTTATTCTTATTTTTGGTTACCATTTATTGTGATAATTTGTTTCATCCCTACTATGTATTGATTCTTTTTTTTCCATATAATTTCTTTTATATTTTTTCTTTCTCATTCATCTTATTTTTGATATTGTCACCAGTTAGACCCTACACTTAAAAAGAATTAAAAAAAATTTTGAATGAAAATCTAATGTTTGGGATGTCACATACTATCTATAAAAAATTTGTAGGAATAAACACATAAAACAAGGTAAAGCTCTTTGTAAACTTGGACATATGGATCTGGTTCTGGATCAAGAGAAGAAAGAAAAAAAAATGGATCAAGAGATGATTAAAAAAGAAGAAGACATGTGTGATAATAAAAACAAATACGTACAATATAGTCACAAACCCTAAGTGGTAGCCACAGATCGCTGGATCTTGGAGTCAAGCCGCTCTTGCATATCTCCACGGTCCTGGTTTGATGATGACTAGATCGTTGTCGGTTTTTTAGGTGAATTCGCTCATAAACCCAATGTTGAGTGAAGAAAAATTTAAAAAGTTGAAAAGAAGAAGAAGAAGATAAGAGAGAGAAATCGACGTCCAATGAAACTAAAAGAAATTTTATTCTAACATGTACCAAATTTAGAACATAAATAAAACTAAAAGATATTATTTATTGTTTGCAATAAAACTTATATGAGTAATCTATCATCGGACTCTTGTGTTTTTCTTGGTGATTTCTCCAATCTAGAAGTGTTTGTGCGGTGGTTTCAATCTCAGACTGTCTACTCAGGCAAGGTCAACCTTTTCAAGTTCCTTGGATTATTGTCGATGAAGAATGCCTCATGAGAAATTTTTCTGTGTCTGAGTAATAACATAGTCGAAGGGGAGTTGGTTTACCAGGTTCTTCTCTCTCGTCAGCAAATTGGTACTGCAATAATTATTTTCTTGTATGTTTGTTGTGTGAGCCAAAACTCGCACAACCAAAAATTTGTTAAAGAAAACTTAAGGGATCCGAAATTTTTAGGGTTTATCGCAAGAACAGTAATATCAAAAAAAGGTTTTTGCTGAAAAGTGTTTTAGTCTTATTGCTCTCGAGTTGTCAAAAGTTACATAATTCTCCAAACCGCCTAGCCGAGAATCTCGGGAGAGATTTTCGGAATATTTCCTTATCGCTTCATGCGGCCACCGCCTTTGTATTTCTCCTAGGTTTTTTCTGTGGGCTTCGTCCTCCTTGACCTTGATTCGGCCCATAGCGAATTAATCGGCTCGGCCCAATGCAAAGGAGATTGGCTTGGCCCAACACGGAGGGACGCAGCTCGGCCGCTTATTCTGTTCTATAGCTCGGCCCACTTGCCTTTCCTCTCGCAGCTCGGCCCAAACATCGCACAAGGCGGATCGGCCCATATTCTCCTTTCTTCTATGGATCCGGCTCACTTTCATATTCCTTTGCTATGGCTTACTTTCCTTTCCGTTATGAAGATGGTTTTATCCATTTGGGATGAAACTGACCCCAACAGTTAGCGCCCCAACTCGTCAGTTTCGGAGACAGGAGTGACGAGGTTCATCATTCCTGGCCATGGGGTAAACCATCGGGTCAAGCCACCGTGATTCCAGATGAGGCGTTTTGGGAACAAAGTGCCGAGCCGTTCTTTGACGAGCCGTAATAGCGAGCCGTTTTTTGGCAAGGCTTTTGAAGAAAAACGCTGAACCATTCAAAGAGTGAGACTATTTTGACAAAGATAGTGCCGAGCTGTTATTCAACGAGGCGTAATAGCGAGCTGTTTCTTTTTGGCGAGGGTGTTTGAGGGGAAATGCCGAGCTGACGCGTCATTTTCAAAGGATGCCAAGCCGTGTTGACGTTGATGACGAGGTATTTTTGAAAGGATGCCGAACCAAGTTGTCGTTAACGACATGGCAATTTATAACGCTGAGCTGTGCTTCGATGCGACAACGACACGATTTTGCTTGATAACGCCGAGCCCTGTATTAAAGGTATCGACAAGGCGATTTTGCTTGATAATGCCGAGCCCTGTTTGACGAGGCAATCTAGTTTAGTGATGCCGAGCCATGTTTCAAGATAATGGCGAGGCGACTTTTCATTTTATTTTTTTGTGACTTTGCCAAGCCGTGTTTAGGCGGATACCTTCGTTGATCGAGATGAAGAAACTGCCGAGCACGGTGACAGTGGTGCCGAGACGAGCACCTCTGTTGATCAAAGCGACGAGGTCACCGAGGTGGAGAGTCGAGACAAATCTGTCGAGGCCGAGGCGAGGTCTTGTGCGGCACATATTTTTACGAGATCTCATGATGGTGGGGCAGATATTTTGACGGACTCTTCCCATGGTTCGGCTCCTAAACGTGGTGATACCATCAATCTTTCCAAGGTGAAGGCCGAGGAAGAGATTTTTCCGTTCGATCCGGTCGAGGCGAAGCGAGAAATTGAACGCCTAATGTCGAGCCGAGCCGCCTCATCTTCCAGCCGAACTAGGGTTCGAAAGAAGAGGCTTCGACCAGATCCTCCCGGCTCGTCCTTATCTTCAGTCGAATCCCTAGAAGCCCTTCGGAATCGTTTCAGGATTTCTGAGGAGGTTGAGTTTGTTGTACCGAGGCCCAGCGATCGTGCTCATCTTTCGCCTCCTGATCACTTCACCATCTATGAAAGCTTCTTCGATCTCTGCTTTCTTTGGTTCCCTATTTCCGAAGTGATTCTTCGATACCTCTGGAAACACGGGATATCCATTGGTCAGATTATGCCGAGAGGATTATGGCATATGACTGGGATTTTGGTGCGGAGTTACGAATATCGCATAGACATCGAGCTCGACCATCTGTTGAATTTGTTGAAAATCCGTAAGGCTCCTGGGGGGAAGAAATTTTATATCTCGAGCAAGGCGCGCCGAAAGATTATCAGCGGTTTCCCGAGCAAGGACAGTTTTTGGGATGATTGTTTCTTCTTCGTCCGGGTCAATGGGGCATTAGTTGGTGACAGCTTCATCCGCAAGACCAAGACTGATTGGAGACCGCTTGGTATCCGATCGATGTCTTCCTTTGGCTCGGAAGACTTCGGATTTTGTATCTCGATTCTAATGTTTTCGTTGTTTCGTTGTTTTGCAGTTCGCGACTTTCTTCCCCTGTGCCCTGACAATCTGTTCGAAGTTCGGGATACGCTAGCTGCTAACCGAACCCACTGGAAACGCCATTTCTCGCTGGAAAGAGTCGAACGAGCCCGGTATATTGCTGCAGGTGTTTCAGTTAGCTCCGAACTATCCAACTCATCAGGCGATACTCGCGACAAGATGGTGATGGAGACTTTCCGGGAGAGGAAGAAGAGAGAAGCCGAGCCACAGAGGCTGCTAAAAGAGACGAGAACGAGCTGAAGGATGCACAGCAGGCTGGGAATGAGGCACCTGTGTTCGGCTCGGGGGACAAAGGTGACCAGAGCACTGGCTTGGGGGACAAAGGTGACCCGAGGCGACCTCTAATGTTCCCGACGAGCAGAGGTCGTCCGCTGGTGCGACCAAGTCGGCCATTCTCGCTCTCCCGCATTCTCCGAGGCCTCCGAACTCCAAATTCGTGAAGCACGAGGCGGCGAATCGCAAGCGCTCTGCTGCGAAGAAGGGCAAAGGCATTGTTCCCGACGAAGGCGAGCCGCTTAAGAAGAGACAGAAAGCGGCTGCTGGCGAGCTGAACCTGAAAAAGCTTGTCGTGGACGATGTTACTGCTTCTGCCCAATTGTTCTTCAGGGTTAATAACAACAAGGTTTCTTTGCCGCGCCCCGAAAAGCTTAAGCACCCGATGTCTTACGCCGCAATGGCTCAGCGTAGTACTAAGGTTGGTTCCCTCTCATTTTAACCTTTCTTATTCGAATTCGTCTGGTTCTAATTTTTTCTCCCTTCTTCTTTACCTTCAGTTTATCGCCGCGGTGAACGAGCTGTTGGCGGACTACGAATCCGATGCGCTCAAAGGCGAGCGTCGTTTTGTCGAGACGAAGCAGGAGGTCGCGCAGTCGAAGGCTGACTTGGACAAGGCGTTGGCTTGAATCACCGCGCTAGAGGAGGAGAAAGGGGCTATCAGAGCCGAGCTCGAGAAGACGACGACTCGATTCGAGGAATCTCATTGTCGGAAAAACAACGAGATTGCTTCTCTGAAGAGGCAAATCGCAGCGAAGGACGCATTGCTCGAGTCTCGAGTCAAAATTGCCCAGAAAGAAGCCAGACGCACTGCCACGGCTAAGTTTCAGGAAAGGCTTGCTGAGATTGAAGGGAGAATGGGTAATCTGGAGAGAGCCAAGAGGGACGAGAACAACCTTGGTCAAATTCGGAGTAACCTCGTGCTAATTGGCGATCTCCAAAAGCCAGATGCCAGTCTCGATGCCGAAGAGGAGAAGCTGAGGAATTGGGAGGCCGAGCTACTGGGAGCCGAGGAGACGTTCGAGCGTGCTGCAACAGACTTACGGGAGAAGCTGGTTGTTTCTTCGGTATCTCCAGATTCTGTTGATTCTCGCTTGGGGACCAAACTGCTAGAGGTCACTGCGGCTTTAGTTGGGGTTACGAATCCCACCGGTTCGAACATCGACACTCCGAGGGCTACTGATCTTGCCGCCGAGGGCGTTCCTGAGCTGCGTGCAGGAGATCAGTAGTACTTTCTCTTTTCGTATTAAGTTGTACTGTGTCGTGTGTGGATGGCTTTATCCATATCTTTTGACTTATTTGTTTTTTGTAAACATTGTGCCTGGATGGCTTTATCCGTATCGTTTGACTATTGATCTCCTTGTTGGATTTATTTGGTAGCAATCTTATCTATCTTTTCCCTTAGTCATTTTTTGGGAATTATTGCTTTCGCCTTTAGTAGGAGACTACCGTCAGACCGAGCCGTCACTAATTGGTTTGTCGAGCCGGACCAAGAGTGCTTTTGTTTTCTTTCCTGGCCGAGCTGTTCTAAACATTGATGGATTGTCTCGAATAAGCTGTTTTGATACTCTAAATATCAAATGGATCTTATAAAGTGTCAAATGAGTAGCGTTCCCAAACCGGGAGGTATGTCCTTTTTTTTAGACAATTTTTGCGAAAGGAATTGACATTCCTTTATGTTTCTGGATGTCAGTCCCAAGGTGTGAAGTTAGAAGATAGAAAACATATAACGAGGTAATTTAACTCGGATCTAATTTTATCCTTCTGAGGCGTTAAGTTTGAACTTCTCGTTGTCGAGGTTCATGTCTAAGTAGACGATATTTAGAATTTTGTCGTAGACCGGTGTTCCCGAGAGGGTGAATGTGTTGCCGGGTTTTAAGAGTTCGGCTCGGTTTTAGAGAAAGCGATGTAGTCTCGACTTATAATCTCGTGTGCGATGGCGAACTGTGGCGACCGATACGTTTTTGGTCTGAAATTTGTATAGCGCGCTTTATTTTAATCCGTAGAGGATGTAACTTGCACCCTCATCCTAGGAAAGGTGGTAAAAGTCCATTTGGAGAACTTTGTGATTGTTGTCTCGGTGTGGCCAGCAGCGAGACGAAGTGTTTGAAACGAGAAAATTTTGGCCGAAGCAAGTGCAAGGATATGTAAAGGTCTAGGCGAAGTGAAAAAAAAAATGGATAAGTGATTGAAAACGAGTTTCTCAAGAATTTCTAAAGTGATAGCGAGTGATAGTAAAAACCTTGCCGAGGTCAAAAATTAGTGAAAGAAAATCTAGAAAGAGTGAATGAAAAACTAGCCGAAGTGATGATAATCTTTGAGACAGTAGACTTGACGAGCTAAAAATCTTAAAATAGTGTAAGTGTAAGTGTATACGTACGCACTCCCCCGCCCCCCTTTTTTAGGAGGGGGGACAGCTGAACCCGTCCGAGGACGGGCTGCCTACGTACCCTTTGCAGGGATCAAGCCGTCCCGTAGTTCATGTTGACCGTGTTGTAGCCTTAGTGCTAATACTTCTTTAGATGCATTGCGTTCCACGATCTTGGATTTGCTTCGTCAGCTACCGTCGTAAGTTCATAGATTCCTGGCGAACTACTTTTGTAATCTTGTAAGGGCCTTCCCAATTTGCTCCGAGCTTTCCTGCATTCCTCTCGGCAGTGTTTTGGAACACTTTTCGAAGAACGAGCTCTCCTTATTTAAATCTTCGGCTTCTGACATTTTTGTTGTAGTATCTCGCCGTTGCTTGTTGGTAGTTATGGATTCGGATTAGAGCCTGGTCTCGCCTTTTGTTGACCAAGTCGAGTTCGTCCAGCATCTTTAAGTGATTCAAGCCTTCCTGTCCTGGCAGAAGCCTTCGTCGAACCCCTGGGAAATCCACCTCGGGGGGAGTTACACACTCCGTTCCATAGACGAGAGCGAATGGGGTTTCTCCAATGGCTCGGCGCGGGGCTGTCCAATGCGACCAAAGGACTCCTTCGAGTTCGCCTGCCCATCTTCCTTTCTTGACATCGAGCCTATTTTTTAGGCCGTTAGGATCGTCTTGCTGGCTGCTTCGGCTTGTCCATTCCCCTGGGATATCTCGGCGTAGACTTGCTCAGACGAATTTTCCATTTCTCGCAGAAGGCTTCGAAGCAGTATATCCTGCGATCGGTTATGAACGCCGTTTTTCCTCTGTCAACGGGATGCATTAGGATTTAGTTATAACCTGAAAACGCGTCCATGAACGTTAACAACCTATTTCCCGCAGTGGCTTCGACGAGCCGGTCGATGTGCGGTAGGGGGAAGCTGTCTTTTGGGCATGCCTTGTTGAGATCAGTGAAATCTACACAGACTCGCTATTTGCCGTTATTCTTCTTCGTGAGCCAGTCCGGGTATTTTGCCTCGGCGATTGATCCTACTTTGAGCAATCTTTCCACTTCGTCGTTAACTGCTTTAGCTCGTTCGGGTCGGAGCTTCCTCCTTTTTTGCTTGATTGGTTTGAAGATTGGATACACGTTCAGCTCGTGACAGGTCACGTCGATGCTTATGCCTGGCATGTCCTCCGCTCTCCAGGCAAAGGTGTTGATATTCTCCTTGATGAAGGAAAGGAGTTTGCTTTTCAGAGGTTCTTCCAGCTTAACTCCAATCTCGACGCGTCTCTCCGGATGCGCTTTGTCTATGCACACCGAGTCTACCGCATCACATTCCGGCTCGGTGTGCGTTTCGCAGCTCTCTGCGATCTTTAATTGCTATAAGAGTTTTGAGAGCTCGTTCGCGGGCTCTCGATCTGTCTTCAGCTTCTTGCGATCTACGTCTGCTCGCGCGTCGGTGACGGGATTCTTCAACTTGTGATCTGTCAAGAAACACATTCGCGACTCCTTCTGATTTCCCCAAATCGTTTTGATGCCTGATGGAGTTGGGAATTTGAGGCAGAGGTGATAGTTGGAAGGGACCGCCCTCATCGCGTTGATCCATGGAGTCCCCATAATCACATTGTAGATTGCTGGGTGGTTGGTGACAGAGAATTCGACGATCTTAGTGACTCCGCCGGCTACCACAGGGAGTCTAATTGTGCCCATAGTCATTGTTGTTTCTCCTGAAAATCCGGTTAGAGGTTTTGGGATTGCCGTCACCTCAGAGAGATTGATTCCCATCCTTCTGAGTGTCTCCCTGAAAATGACATCCACCGAGCTCCCAGTATCGATGAGTACTCTTGCTACATTGTGGTCTCTGATCGTTGTGTGGTCTATCTATCCCTGACGTTTCCTCTTCGGCGAAGGAGATCACCGTGTTCGGGATATCGGTCGGTTCTGTCCAATTCTCCTTTGCTTCGGCTCGGCGCTGATAGGCTTTGATGGAAGACACCGTGTCTTGGTAATATTGGGTTCCACCCATGATCATGTTTATTCTTTGTCTCGGCTCGGGTCGCTCTTCAGGTTCACCTCTTTTGTCGCACTTGGTGTTATCGCCTCGTCGGGGAGGATTTGCGAGTTCTGTCACGCCATTCGGCTCGGTTCCTTCTTTTGGGTCATTAGGGACGAGGTCTTTAAGATTCACCGCGCTCTGGAACTCTCCCACTGCCATTTTAGCCGCGAGTTTGGTTCCTAGAGTTCGGCATTGCGCCGTCGAGTGCCCGTAAGTTTGCTGATACTCGCAGAACGCCTTTTCATCGTAGTTAGTGGGTCTTCTTACCCAAGTGTTGCTACGCGGCTCTCCTCTTCCGCGTCCAGCGCCTACTTGGTAGTTGTGGGCGCCTCCGCTTCTTGGTTCGTCCGAGCTCTGCGTTGTTGCGTTGTTTGATGAGTTACCTTTCTTCGAGGGGCTCATCAAGATTGAGTTCTGGATCGCTGCTTTCGTCACTTCGTACTGTTCAGATTTTTTATCTCTTCCTCATTGACGACAAAATCTGACGACCGATGTAAGGCGTCTTGAATCGTTTGTGGCGTGTTAAGAGCCATTTCCCGTCGGAATTTTAGATTTGTACCACAAGGACCGCTTCAGAGCCTCGAGTTCTGCCTTGTCGCTTATTCCTTCTACTTTAGACACGACCGCCTTGAACCTTGCCATGTAGTCCCGAAGCGGTTCGCTCGGTCCTTGGGATAGCGTCAATAGGTCGGCATCGGAGGTTCCTCGATCCATGAACATCAAATACTGTTTGAGGAACAAAGCGGAGAGTTGTTGGAAACTGCTGATTGAATTGCGCTCTTATCTTGAAAACCATTCCAGCGCGGCTCCCTTGAGATGCTCTACGAAGAGCAGGCAATATCCGGCATCTACCTCTCGTTCGGTCAGTTAGGCAGTGTTCCTTGTGAAGGCTCGACCCATCGCTATCCGAAACGATGTGATGTGAGCCTTTGGGTCAGTTGTGCCTTCGTAAAAAGGGATTCTCACTTTCCCGGGCTCGGGAATCCTAGCCTCTGTGATTCTTGCCGTGAACGGTGTTCTCTGGGTCTCTTCGAGCATTCGATCGATCTCAGGTGCGGCACTTGTCGCGTTATGCACTTGAGATTTCATGGCGCGTATTTCGGCCACTGTCCGAGCCATTGAGGCTCGCAGCTCTTCGATTTCGAGGGTTTGTGCGCGAGTCATTCGCTTCGGTTGGCGAAGTCGCTCATGATCTTCTCTCCTCGGCTCGTCTTCGCGTTCTGCCTGCTCGACCCATTGGCGGTTTTCTTCTTCTTCAGTTGGGTTATCGTCGAGAGCCGGGTCGGTGACTTCATCACTCCGAATGCCGTCTAGTGCCGAGGCGAGCTCTTCTTGGCTTATTCGCCAAGCCGAGCCGTTTTATCGTGAATTCGTGGTTCCATCGTTTTATTGGGCGTCCACATCGATCGCATCGTTCTCCTCGTCGTCGGCTCGTCGCCTTAAGTTCTGACGGAGTGGAGGCGGCTCGGTCATGTTGATACGGGTTGCTGCAGGAGTCTGTTCGCCGAGGGGACAAAATATTGGTGGAGCCAAGGGGTTTCTTGCGCTGCTACCCGATGCTCCTTTTGTCCTGCTCGTCGATCTTCTTCATAAATGTAGCCATCATGTTTCGCATCTCCTCTTGGGTTTCAGTTGTCGCCGTCGTTATGCCCGATGGTGGAGCGTCCTTCTCTGCGCCGTTGTCATTGTTGTTGTTGTTATTATCGTCGAGGGTGTTGCTCGCCATGTTCTTCAGATCTTAAAGTCTTGTCGATTTAGAGTAAGAAATTTTCTCTTCCCCACAGACCGCGCCAAATTGTGTGAGCCAAAACTCGCACAACTAAAAATTTGTTAAGGAAAACTTAAGGGATCCGAAATTTCTAGGGTTTATCGCAAGAACAGTAAGATCAAAAGAAGGTTTTTGCTGAAAAGTGTTTTAGTCTTATTGCTCTCGAGTTGTCAAAAGTTACATAATAAATCGCATACATCATCTATTTATACTAATTCTCCAAACCACCTAGCCGAGAATCTCGGGAGAGATTTTTGGAGTATTTCCTTATCGCTTCGTGCCGCCACCGCCTTTGTATTTCGCCTAGGGTTTTTCTGTGGGACGCAGCTCAGCAGCTTATTCTGTTCCATAGCTCGGCCCACTTGCCTTTCCTCTCGCGGCTCGGCCCAAAAATCGCACGAGGCGGCTCGGCCCATATTCTCTTTTCTTCTATGGATCCGGCTCACTTTCATATTCCTTTGCTATGGCTCGGCTTTCCTGTACACTTAGACGTTATGAAGATGGTTTTATCAATTTCGGATGAAACTGACCCCACAATTTGTGTCCTGCTAGTTCCTCGGTGGCTCGACCTTTTGTGGTTGAGCAATATAAAGAGGTTTGGGATTCAAGCACTCGTTGTTTGTTTTTGGTGGTGAAACGGACACAACTCCTCGTTAAAGATTTGGTCTCATGTTAGGGTTTTGAGTAATTGTTAATCGTGTTGTGCTAATTTTGTAACAACCCGATCTTTGGTTCTCCAAATGTTGGTTTGTTTCCGAACCTTAATTCCGGTCTGATATAAGATCGAGGTGGTGGTTAGGATGGATCCAAGTGATTGGCCGAGAGGCTCTCTTCACTTAGAGAAGATATAGTCAAGTATGGAAAAGGGGAACCTAAGCAACTGGCTGAGGGGCTCTCTTTGCTTAGATTAATGTATAAACGGTGAACTAGAAACCAAGGGGGATCGATGTGACTCCACACAGCTGATGAGAGATGCTGTGATAAGTCAATGAACTCAAGAACAAAGGTGAATCCACTAAGTGTTCAAGAACTCGAAGAAGAGGCGGCTGCTCTTAAGAAAATACATTCTTTTATTGATTAGGGTAAAATTTGTTTAGTACACTGCCTTATAAACAGTCCTTCGGTCTTGACCTTCTAGGGTTGACTCTAGACTCGAAAAGGGAAAGAAACTTGCGAGAGACTCTTGTAAAAAGTAAATAAAACAAAATGGAAACAATACTAAAGTTCTCGGCTAAATTAAAAGGAAATATAACTAAAAGGACCTTAAGAAAAATTCTGCAAAACAAAGAGAGGGAAACTCGTTAGTTTAAAAATATAATTAAGCCAAACACTCACCTTGGTGTCTTTTTGACACTTAGTTGTTTGTAGCCTCACTGGTGAAGATCATGCGAGCTCCTTGAGTCCTTAGTAGTGGCCACTCCATTGTTGGTGTGGGCTTGATGCTTGTGTTGTCCTGATCTTCATGCCTCCGTCCTTCCTCGAGCTGATCCTCTTCTTGAATAAATATGATATATTCATAAATTGCATCATTTAGTGTACAAATTCAAATCATGTCTCATTTGCACACATTTTAGGTCTTTAGACATTGTTTTAGGAGTTAGGAGATTGCATTAGGTCCAAGAGGGTTTTGCATGGTTTGGAGTGTTAAACAGGTGTATTTGGAGTGGAGAATGTAAACCAGATGAAGAAATGGAGTTGAAATGATCAAAAATGGTGAAAAAGGGCATTACATAGCTTCTCGGCAAAAAGGCTATACTGCTGGTCGGAGATTCTTGGCTAAAATCCATACCGTGGGTAAGATTCTCGGCCAAAACACGTACTGGTCGCTTAAGCTTCTCGGCCAAAACTTTTGGGTGCAGATATATCTAAGAAATCCCATTATCGGAAGCTCTTTCCGGCCGATTTAGCTTCCGCGGTCTTCAGCAAAGATCAAGCTAATTGAGTCTACATTCCAGAAAAGTTGGAATCAAGGCATTTGGAGAACTGATCTGAAAGATATGGTCACCGGAAGACAGACCTGTCTCGCATCCATTCCGGAGCAATCCGATACGTCTGAAAGATTTCCTGTCCAGTTAGCCTTAACGTCCGATAAAGCTTACAGAGTCTTCATAAAAGTTAGATAAAATTGAGCTGTGGTTCCAGAACAGTCGAAATTAGAGGATTTGGAGTCATGAGCTGAGAGTTAAGCTCACCGGAAGACACACTTGTCTTGCTACAGTTTCAAGACCGATCCGATGACTCACAAAGATTGCATGAGATGATGCCTTTACAGTAAGATTCAGTTTCCGGGGGCTGCATCAATATTCAAGGTCTTTGCGTGATATTTTCAGAACATCTGAGATCATCCAGTTTGGAGCTATGTGGTGAAAGATACCGTCTCCGGAGTAAACACTGGCCTCTTCTTGATCGTTTCAATGCACTTCAGAGATGAGTCATCCTGGGAACCTTCCACTTCCCAAGCGCTAAATGTTTCTTCACCAATATTTGAGATATTTGAGTGCTCTTTCCACGGCAGTTGGAATCAAGCAATTTGGACCAGTATTCCAGGAGTTATGATGCATCAAACGCGGAGTGGTCCGAGAATATGAGAAATTATGCGACTTGGGTGTGCGACTTGATTAACTCCCACCCATGAATGTTCATGCTCTGGAAACAAGTTACGACTTTAGAGATGAGTGTAAGGAGACTCTGAGCAAGGTAGAGACTTCCAGAATCAAATTAGACTAAGTCAACAATGCTGTGCGAGATAGGCCTGCGAGTTGGACATGAAGTGGAACCATGTAGCACATGTGTTCGCAAATTACACCGACTTGGGCGTGCGACTTGGCCAAGGAAGTGACCATCCCGCACATATACATTCTGGAGTGTGCAACCTGGGCTTGCGAGTGTGGA